TCAACACGCATAGTGTTGTTGTCTGCAAGGACACTAACTATGGGGTCTTCTAACTTTTGGACTTTCAATCCTAGCCTCAGCTTCTTCAGCGCTTTACGACTAATATAACTACGAGTAGCCCCTGAATCTATAAGGGTCCCTACTCTGCTTCTGAAAACTTCTACATCAACTAACACTAGTTGTCCTTCACTATCTTTCTTCATTTTGGCCCAGGCTGCCATCCTCTCCTTCAACTTTTCACTTTTCTACCACACCTGTGAGGGAAGTGCCTAGAGAGACGCTAACACAAACCGTCTCTAGACAGCTAACTAGGCACGGGCCTGCAACCTCTGTCAAAGGCTCACATGGTGTGGGAGTTTCCTGTACGCGCGCGCTCGCTTCCCCACATGGCCTAAGAGTAGGGGCAGTTGCTACCCCTACCGGCGGCTGCCTTTTGACTCCTGGGAAGCCCATCGGGCCTGTCTATACTTAGGACAATATTTAATAATATGGGCAGGGTCACCACAGTAAATGCACTGGCCCTGCTCCATACGTTGTTGCCACACTTTCTGGTCCAGACCCAGATCTTCCCAAGGCCGGCCTTGTGGCCAATCTAGGTGCCAACCTCCTCTCCTTTGAGGTGATCCTCCACCTCTACGCTGCAGGGACTGCCTGGGACCTTGACGATTTGGTGGGGGACGTTGACCCCTACCTCCCACTTGACGGTTCCCTTGACCGCCGACCCCCTGTGCACCCGGTCCTCGACCTCCCGTGGCCTGGCCCCTTTGGCCCTGGCCTCCTTTACTTCACGGCCTCCTTCCAGCCGCGACAACAGCATAGGTCCGCCCCTGGCCTACACTACTGTCCTCCTCCTCAAGCCCCCACTCGATCTGACTGTAGGGGACCTCGTCTGTACCACCTTCATCTGAAGTAAGGATCAAGTGATCCTTGGCCCTAACTTGGCCAAAGATGGTACGACCTTTCCACTTTTTGCCCTTGTCTAAGTCTTTATGCCAGAAACTAGAAACCGGCATGGACTTGACCTCAAACAAGACCACTTCCCTACTCGACGCGTCATACGTGATGTTAGGCTATTGGGTATGGTCAAAGAAGTGCCCTCGCAAGGGCTTTGGCATGGCACGATAAAACAACTGGACCAGCTGGGTCTCAGTGACCCCGTGGTCTGGGACAGCTACCAAGTCGTCCATGATAGCTTTGAGTGCTCGCGCACTCCTCCACTGTCGCGAGTGGATAGTTTGGAGCTTGTCAGAGGCCCTAACGCCCCTCGTGGCGTCAGTGACCTCTCACGCAGGAGTTTGAGAAAAGTGGAGAGAGGGGTAAGCCTAGAATACGCGATTATGTTATGCTCGCAATCGGCAGTGCGCGCAAGGGACCTGGCGAAGCTAGCTGCTTCGTCTTTCAACGCATGGAAGGCGGCGAGGACTTGTTCCTCGGGGGCGATATGCTGCAGATACACATGTGTTGATGCTAGCCTCCCAATTATCAAAGCTATCATTCTTTTTCCCGCTATAAGCGTCAGGGAATTTGAACTTTACTGGCTCTTTGCGGGGACGTGCTGCGGCCTCTGCTATGGCCACGACTTTGGCGCTCTCAATGACGCCTGCGCTGAACTTGTCTACACCTTCCTTCAATCTTCTAACCTCGGTCCCGACGTGGGTTACCATGTCGCGCGCAAACTCTCTAAAACCGGACCAGATGGCATGCAGGGTCACATCTTGACCCTTATTGGCCTGATGCTCCTCAAGCCAAGCCTCACTCAAAATCTCCAGGTACCCCAGAATCTTATCCAACTTCGCAGGGGTTTCGGCCTGAACCTCCTGCCTGCATGCCTGGCCTTTCTCCATTTCTCTCGCCACCCGGTTGGCTTCCTCCCTCCTCTTCTTCTCCCTCATCATACACAACTTCCACTCCAACTTCTTTTTGTCTTCACTTGTTTGACGTTCCAGGGGGTCCTCCATCATTTCCAATATCGTAGGGAATGCTTCTCTCCTCATGCGGCACGTACAATAGTGCCTCTGCATCCTCTCCAGGGATAAATTAGCTACCCACTTGCTAATTTTCTTCTTCATCCATGCATCCTCTCCTTTCGTGCCACTGCTTTCCCCTCGTTCTTCCCTGCATCTCCTTTCGTGCCACTGCTTTCCCCTCGTTCTTCCCTGCGTCTCCTTTCGAGGAGTTCTTCTTCTTCCTCCTCCTCCTTTGCTGTTGCTGCTTCTTCGGCAGCCTTTCTCTTCTCTTCCTCCTCCTGCTGTAGCATCATCATCTTCTCCTTATGTAACCTTGTCATCGCTTCTTCCAACCTCTTCTTCTTCGCCGCCTGCTCCTCTGCAATTGCTTTTAACTTCGCCTGCTTGAGCACTTTCTTCTCTTTCCTCTAACTCAATATGGCCGCGATCCGAGCCTGCTTGGCTCCAGATTAAAGGGTAGTACTCTTCCCACTACGGGTGCCAACCATGGTGTCTGGTGCACAACCGGATACGGTTCCACTCCTCACCACTTAGACTCTACCCCCTGACTGACAAACCTACTGACTCAATCTAAGGACTTACAGAATCCGGACAGGATCCTATCAACTAGGGTCTCTAGCCTAGACCTACTCTAAGGCTGTAACTACAAGACCTGTTGCTGATCAGGTGGCATTTAAGGAGATCCCCCATAAACAGGTGTGCAGCAAACTGGCGACAAGCACCCACTCAAAACTTAGAGATATGTTAGCCAAGAATACAGTTCAGGTACAAGTTCAATTCAATGGCTATGGCGACTCGGCGCCCACACAACTATATGTTCACACACACAAGATCACCCTGGATATCCCACACGTGATGCTTTGTACACACACACACACACTCACACATGCTACACTCTATCTACAGCTATGGCGGCTATGGCCGCTACTACCCTATCGCTATGGCTACGCTCCTTCTCTCTTGCGCACTTCGTCTTCGGGCTCACTGCAGACCACCTCGCACAAGTCGCTGTGGCAGCACTTCCGCATGGCTCACGCAGGAATGAATAAATGGCTAGACGCTGCCCTTTGATTTATACTCCTGTAGCTCGTTGGTCTGGCCCTTTCCCTTGCCCGTGGTGCACACAGTCCCATGCGGTACTTGCTTGACTGGACTAGGACTGACTGGGACCGGTACTGCTGACTGCATGGGTTTGCACGATGCAGTCGCACTGCCGACGTACTGCAGTTGGGCTCACCACTTGCCCACTTGCCCACTTGCCTCATCCAAAACGTGAGCAACTTCGAAAGGCCACTACTAGGACCTTCTGGAAGTCTGGGTCCTGGCCTTTCGAAGACTGTAGCAGCTACGACCTTGACCCTTCAGGACTGTAGCAGCTACGACCTTGACCTTTGGAAGTTCTACAGCTATGACTTTTAGAACCCTCTAAGACTTCTACTCGACAGATTTACAGATCGAACCCATGCTAACTACGGACCCTACGACAGTCCACCAACTGTTACAAATACACAGGTCACGGGTTCAGCTCTCGGGGTCGACACAAATACTGTACACAGGTAAGATGATGAGTACGGATCGAGCCCTGGGATCTGCATCGGCTACTGCGAACTGGTGAATACCGTTTCACAAAAGGGCGTTTGGGGATAATCTTTTCAGTTTCTCACGACCTTTTTTTGTTGCCCTATTTTACTTTCGGTGGAGGTTTGTGTGTGCAGAGTTTGGTGTTGATCAGAGCCTTGGGATGGCCGTTTTGGCAAGCCCTGAAAATCCAGAAAAAAGTCAGGGCTCAGGGGTGAATTTTGAATGTTTTTGCCTTATAAGGTTTTATAAGTTTTAACCTTAGGCTACCAGCCGGGCCGCGTGGGTCACCCAGACAATTTTTTCTCAAGCAGTTTTTTTTTTTTTTTTTTTTTTTTCATATGGGGTGATCACAACTTTCTATATTCTTCTCTCCACTTGTGTTTGTTTTACCTTCCACTACCTACTCCTAAGACTATCTAGAGGGGACCCCTGCAAGCATAGTTTTTCCTCTCTCTGTGAAGGGGAGATTTCATGTTGCCCTTTGCCCCTAATGGTTAGGGTATAGGGTTGGGGCCGCCAGTGGGGGTCTGGCTAACACAAAGACCGAGACCTGCCAGTAGCTGTGCCTCCCTTTCTCATCGTCCCCCACCCTTCATCGAGTAGCAGCAGAGGCTATGGCCAACACTCTCCCACACAGCACACACAACCCACTCGCGCTCACACTCAACACTCGTGTTGGTCATAGACCCCGCTAATACCGATCAGGGGTATCCAGAGGACTATCACAGTCCGTTGGCACTAAGTGCGCCACAGGCGGCCATAGCCTCTGCTGCTACTCGATGAAGAGTGGGGGGACGATGAGAAAGGGAGGCACAGCTACTGGCAGGTCTCGGTCTTTGTGTTAGCCAGACCCCCACTGGCGGCCCCAACCCTATACCCTAACCATTAGGGGCAAGGGGCAACATGAAATCTCCCCTTCACAGAGAGAGGAAAAACTATGCCTGCAGAGGTCCCCTCTAGATGGTCTTAGGAGTAGGTAGTGGAAGGTAAAACAAACACAAGTTCAGAGAAGAATATAGACAGTTTACCCGGGCTGAAGGTCCCAACAAAAAAAAAAAAAAAAAAAAAAAAAAAAAAACACTATGTTATGCAGGAAAATAAACTGCTTGAGAAAAAAAAAACACAGCGACTGCCTTCAGATATCATTATGGAGCTGACCGGCCCCAGGCAATTCAGGCAATTCAGGCTTATGTGGTTTCATTCATCTAGAACCATCATCTGGATTCGAACTCCGCCTCCGCGTCACATCCAAATTCCTTACCGAATTTAAAACAAAAAATACAATTCAAAAACATTGCTTATTATTTAAATATTTTTATTTCTTCTGGCCCAGCCAGGCAAGCGGGCCCGGGCCACTCTGGCAGCCTAGGTTTTAACTCTTTTTCTTTAGGTCATAAAAAATTGCACGTCTTCGCTGCCTGTGAATCCAGAGCTCCCGTAAAAAACACTCACCTAAGAAAAGAAATGTAATAGGCGAGAAGTTCCTCGTCCGTAAAATCGAAGGGAAATTGGATCAGTTTGTTAATGTAACCTTCTCTGAACATGTAATCTGCATGCATAGCAACAAGATACAGGACCACGTACATGGTATATTTCATGACCACATTCAACTGCATTGCTCATAACAGACAGCCAAGCCAAGTTGCAAAACGTATCTCCCATTACAGATCCCATCACATCCGCCCTGCCTCATACCATCAGACAGATCTTTCTGAAGATAGCAAAAAAAATTCACTGCCAGTCCACAGCCCCAGCCTTCCAAGATCTCCTCATGGCCTACTCCGAAAATTCAGGAGGCTCATGGCTACCCAACCAAGCTAAATTATTAAGCATACCCCGACTCACAGACCAAAAAATTTGGAGTCTCAGGGCCACAGGACCACAACGGCTGGCGGCACCAGCCAAAAAATTACAAATGTAAGGACCTGCCAAACACGGACTGAGACAGACAGCTAATTTCTGAGTTTCGCCAATGGAATGTATGCCGTGCTGAGTTTTCTAAGTCTGTGTGTGTGCATGCTTGCTGGTCTACATGCCTGTCTGAGCGCTTGTCAGTTTGAGTGCATGTGTGACCCGCAAGGGTACTCATTCGTGCGGGAGGCCCGAAGGGCCGGTACTTGCCTGTGGCCATGACATTGAGGGTTGCAGTGGGGAAAACAGTCAAGTCTTCGAGGCCTCGCAGCCTGGAAGTCACCGCCCAAGAGGCAAGCAGGCCTCAGAGTCTGCAATGATGTTTCCCTCCGAAAGGGAGGAGGTAACAGTTGTTTCGAGGCCTCGCAGCCTGGAGGTCACCGCCCAAGAGGCAAGCAGGCCGCTATATCTCCTGGAGGAGCAAAGAGTTCCTCCTCATTTACGGTGTGCAAGTTTGGCGACACACTGGTTGGAGCGCTGGCTGGAGAAGCACTGGAGTTAGCAGCGATGCTGGGGGAAGGAGGAGCGCCCAGCTCCCTCCACCGTGGCTATGGTGGTGGAGCTCGACCTGGAGGAGGAGGAAGGCGAGGACTAGCAAGGGAAGAGCTCGACCTGGAGGGGGAGGAAGGCGAGGACTAGCAAGGGAAGAGCACCAGAGGTAATTACATGGCTATAGTGGATGCCACCTTCATCACCTTGGTGGGCGCTGCATCTGGAAGGCCCCATTGGGGTAGAGCTACATCAAGAAGCTTCGAGGCAGAGTCAGGCATGGTGACCTGAGCCAGCAGGGCAAGGCCCTAGCAGTCCGCCATAGCCTCAGCCTTCGGAAGAGGAAGGAGAAGGGTGGCAATGGCTATGGTGGACCTCATGTTGTACCTGCAGTAGAGGAGGGATTCGGACATTGATTCTGGTTCAGCCATTCGACATTAATATTATTATTTATTGTGAATAAAGAGGGGAGGAGAAAAGGAGGAGGAGAGTGGTTGGCGAGAAGAAGGGAATTATCATTGGTCTTTGCTGGTGTACATCTTCTTCTTCTTTCCCTCTGTGTCCTCTCAAGTTCTTTCATTTCTTTTGCAAGTGGCCGGCATTGTGCTTTCTCATCAATTTGTACTTCGAAATTGGCGAGGATCGTAACACAGAGCAAACTCCGACTCACGGACCCAAAACAAATTGAAGGCTCAGGGCTACCGGCCCCCAATGGCTGGGCAGCACCAGACAAAAAAGAGAGAGTTCGCCGCTGGTGGTTCGGCAAAGCTTGTCGCGCAAAGTGGTGCAGCCAGGTCCATTTGTACTGGTGGTTTAATGGCACAATCACAGGCGCGCAAAGTGTAACAGAGAACCAAGCTAAATTACAAAGCATACCCTGACTCACACACCCTATCACAACCGCCCTGGCCAAACCATCAGAGATATCTTGCTGAAGATAGCAAACATTAATGGATGCGCGATGACCCTTTCATCCTTTGGCTATTTTTAGAAACATGTCTGATGCTATCGGCCTTGCCAGCAACCCTGGTGGATAAAGAACCCCCTTTCATTTGGCTATCTTAAGAAAAAAATAGCATCCATCTGATGCTATCAGCTTTGCCAGAAACCCTAGTGGAAAAAAGAACACGATGGCCCCTCCCCAGAATAGCATGGAGCCGCAGCCTTACTGGAAAATAGAATACAAAAATAAAAATTGTTCCAGGAACCCCAAAAAAGCAATGTGCACGGACCCCAGACGACCAAGGCAGAGGTGAATGAGGGTGGTCAAGACAGACGGCCAAGGTCTGCACGGGCCCCAGATTCACCAAAAAGCCTGTCAAGGGGAGCAAGGGACAAATCACATAATGAACTTCAATCCAGTTATTGTTTAAGGTACATGACTTGCTACATTAAGTTTCCTGAGGACAGTCAAAATTTATGCAAGTTTTGCGATTCATAATTTCATTGCTTGCCAACCAAAAAAGAAATGAAATTTGAAATTGAATGGTTTCTCAGACATACTTTATCGATCACTTTGTGCCCCAGCGTGACAGCAAAGGGCAAGCATGCATATCTTTGAACGACGACCCCCCGGAAAACCATACCTAACCAAGGACATGCGAGAGCAGTATGGGTCCAACCGCAATGCAACGCAACAGAAGTTGCACCAAATATGTAAAACGGGGAGATTCATATACAAAAAGAAAGGTTGTTCACAACTTCACAAAGCTTTGAAAAAACGGCAAGAGGCAAGAGACGAGGAGCTCATTTTACAAGTGCTACGTCATATAGAAAGGCAAGTTTTTTTCAAGAGCTTTAAACAACCACTACACGCCCCAGGCAAATCGCGTCAGCGAGAAGATTACATGCCCGAAAGCTTCGGGGGCTCCGGGCTACTGGAATGGAATCGCTGCCGTCACTGGCCAAAAAGATGAAAAATTGTGCCCGTGACAGTTCTTTGTTTGTTGCGCGCAGCGCTTTGGAGACTCGCAAAGCACAACCTCCGACATAGTGGTGGTTTAGGAACAAAGGAGTAAAAGGAGAGAAACTCAAATCTCAAACAAACGGAAATGGAAACTCACCTACAGCTCTGTCGCTCCGTATGTTTTGAATCATGATACTGAGCGTTTGCAGCAACTGAACAGCCACTCCACCACGCCGCTTGCTGTTCCTCAGAATTCGTAAAAAATGCGCAAGGAGTTCCTTTTCTATAAAGAAACTGGTTCGGTTTGGTTTTGGTGTGTGTTTGGTTTGATCCAAAAATATGAGCATAAAAGGATGTGTCACAATACATGCACAACCAAAAACCAACAACACACAAAAAAACAAAATTAGCACCACCACTACCACACCACTCCATGTGGCCAAAACTAGGATTCCCTCACCCTGCAGCACCCAGCTCAAAACACCACCCTTGCCTCCACCCTGTCAAGGGGGACCAGTGAGAGATGCAATAAAGGAGAAAAGATGGAAAGAGAACGGCACAAACCCCTGATCTACAATTTTGCAGATCACCACCCTTGCCTCCACCCTGTCAAAGGGGACCAGTGAGAGGGGCAATAGAGGACAAAAGACAGAAAGAGAAAGGCTCGAACCCCTGATTTACAATTTCGCAGTCCGGTGAGACAAGGCGCTACCCCACCTTCGCAAGCCGAATGCAACGCACCCTCATCATCAGTGCAATATGCAAGATATCTGTCCATCCCAAAACGTACATAATCCGTGTGCGTTGAATTTGGGTGATACGGTAGACCTCCACGGACTTTAACCGACCCTGGGACCTAGAGACCGATTCAATGCCAGCCAGCTAAATGTGGGTTTTCTGACCCTGTTTCCCCATGTAAAAATTTAAAACTTCAAAACACAGGAAAGGGGGGGAGGAGGGGGAGGGAAAGGGGGAGGGAAGTCCAACAAAACAAGAGTCCCTTTTTTTTTTGTCTTTGGGCGCTTCAAAATTTTTGACAATGGAAACAAATTCAGAGGCTATTTTATACCAGAATACCAACACAGTTCACATCCTCGTAGAATACCAACCAAGGCTCCACAGTTTCAGAAAAACAGCATTCACGCCCCTCGCATTCACTGTCCCCATGCATCGTTCCCCGTATACTTCCACGGCAGGTCAAATGCCTTCTCAGACCGAACAGATCTATCTGACCATAAACCAAAACAAAGGCCTCTCATGTCGCCACCAACTTCCTATACCCTTTCATCAGCTATTGGCTAAATGAGAGTCACTGAAGGAGAATCTTCACCATTTCCATCACCCATCCAAATCGCTATCCCCACACTGTTCTTAGATACAGGTCCGCAAATCGCTATCCCCACACTGTTCTTGGATTCAGGTCCACAATTGAAAAGCATTGCCCGCGTTAAACCGCCAGTACCTTTCTGCGCTTGAAAAACAACTACGGGGCGTGTTAACCACCACAACTTTCAGGGCCGCTGTTGATACATTTCATGGGCCTCCCATGTTGCGGTTCAGGCCTCCAAAGGTTGTGGTGAGGGCCCGCGGCTGATATACGGGAAAGGTACTGGTGGTTTAACATGACGAATCCAATCCGTCAGCCCGGGTGCCACCAAGTTCCATTGCAGTGTCATTAACATCATCATAAACCTCAAATTCGAAAGCCATCCCTAGTCATGGAGTAATGAGACAGGAACCTCTCATGGTTAAATCCCCCCCATACTTACTCTAGAAATGCTGGCTCGTGTTGATCCCCCCATATCATAAGCTCTGCAATTGACCTTAGAGTTTCTACAACGATGTCCTGCCGCCACAGATTGCACACATCAAGAGGGTCAGAGTGCACTCAGGTTTACAGAAGTGACTGACCGATAGGCACTGACATGATCAGAGTGCACTTGACAGATGATGCCCACAAATCAGAACTCAACGACCACCAGCAGTTAGTAATATAATAGTGAAATCAAAACAGCAGTTACATGAGACCTGCGGGCATTGCTCTCTCTCTCTCTCTCTCTCTCTCTCTCTCTCTCTCACACACACACACACACACACACACACACACACACACACACACACACACACACACACACACACAGGGGTTCAACCTCCTGACGAGTTGGTCAAAGTCGAACGAAATAGTCTGGCACAGTCGTGCTTTTTTTTTTTTGGAGTTGTGTATAGCAGCATGCTGTAGCTGCAAGGAATTTGCAGCAATAGCGAGATGACAGAATCCAGATTGCACAATCACATTGAAAGCCAGACAGCCCCACTGTGTCCAGCAATAAGCAATGCACCAATATTACACCAATGGAGAATTGAAACACTGAAACCGAAATGAGAGCTTACTCTCCTCATCACCAACATAAGTATCCAGGCCCTTCCCCCTACTTGGTGCTCGGCGCCCAGACTACTCCCATACAGCTACTTTATACCTACAAATTGACAATGCAACTGTTGACGTCAGCAGCCACCAAAGTACTTGAAGATGTCGCCTTTTGCAGACCATCGCCAATACCACGTATGTGTCCTCACGCCATCATCCTCATCTCTCTCTCTTTCTCCCTTGTCTTTCACCCACGTCTTGTCTCTCTCTCACAAACACACACACACGAAGACCACCACTACCGCTTGTTGTGCATCCAAGCCCTAGCCAGCTATGGGCGCTGGCCTATGGCGCTGCCCGCAGCAGCGCCCTTCCTTCTACACGACCGCACGTGCTTTCCGCCTTGCTCTGTGCTAACAGCAGCCCGCGAGCGTGCGCTCCAGCAGCGCTGCCGCAAACTAGCAAGTGCCCGAATGACTGGCCAGGCAGCGAGCTCTTTCGTATATGGAAAGAGTCTGGCCTGTGCGCTGCCTGGCTGGGCTGCCCAGAAGCTTCCGGTAGGCCCCGAGTAGCTGGGCCTCTGCTGCTACTGCCCTGGGCCCCGTTTGGTTACGCCTCCCAACATCCTGTCGTGTATACTGCTGTGGATGCAGCCCAGGGCCTGCTTCAAAGAAAGGCCTGGAAGGCCGAAACAAAGTTTGGCTGGCCGTGGCCTGGGTTCCTTCAACCAACTGACACGACGCAACTGCCCGAACCCCAAATGCGAAATTGACAACAATGGGCCACTGGTGATTTCAACATGCCAAAAATGAGGCCCTTTGGCCTGCCGAGGAGCCAATTCCTCGCATTAGCGAATATGACAACACAGAAAACAGACACAGGTGCTTCGTTTCCTACTCTCTGTGTAGTTCACTTTTTCCTTTTGCAGCTTCCGCAGGCCTGACATACTAAAACAGAGTACTCAGTCAGATGACAGAAAAAACACTCCAGCCTGCCTGTAGCATTCCCAACCCCGCACCTTATTTATTGCTTCTAGTAATCCTTTGGTCGACCCGTATAACATTGCAAACGCGCTTCTATATTCCCAAATACGCAGCCGCTGAGCTCAACACTCCACCCAGCCAGGTACAAGTCGACCAGCAGGGTGAATGCCTGGCACAGAGCATAACAGACTCAAATTACCTTGTTAGAATCTGTTATGATGGGGTATTTCTGCAACAGGTCGTAGAGGTACCTGCATACAAAAGAAAAAAAAAAGAACAGCGAGTAAGATCAACAGCACAAAGTCACAAACCATAGCACCACAGCTAAGAAACGAAAAACATTCCACCACCCAAACAGAGTGACAAACTCAACTGAAAATTATTGTGCTCTTTTCTGAAGTTCTCTTTTTGGGGGAAGACCAGCCTGGTTCGTTTTCCGCCAAGAAGTCAAATGGATCAATTCCCAACTCTGGCGCTTCTTTCCATAAGGCTGAAAGAACCCGTGCACGGCATTGATTACTCTCATTATTACTCCTTAAACCACAACTTGCCCCAGGTCCAAATCATGCACAGATGAAGAGGAGGGGAACAGACGAAGAGGAGGGGGGGGAGATGGGAATGTCGTCAACACCAAGAGTTTGTTACAAGTCCCAAATAATCCCTCGTCAAAATGTCCGAAGCCCAATGTCGGGTCTGGATCCGAATGTCACCAAGCCCGCTCTCTCATAGTCTGCTGATGCAGTGAAGTCAGGTAGCGAGAGGGTGAGAGGGAGATGGTGGACTGAAAACAGGAAGAAGAACAACTCTCTCTCTCCCATGTGCCAGGTACTAACCTGTGAAGTTAGCGCTGTGCTGCAGGTACCTCGAAGACGGAGCTGGAACTATGGCGCTGCAGGTAAGTCTCCCTGGCCTCCGCCCAATCTCTCTCTCTCCAGTACTACTCTAGCTCCTATTAGCGCCCAGCGCTGAAGACTACTGCTCACGCTACTAGCGCCCAGCGCTGAAGACTACTGCTAGCGCTACTGCTACTCCTGCTGCCAAATCCTGAAGACTACCTCCTGCCTCCTGAACTGCACATGAAGTGCCTGGGAAGTACCTAGGAACTACCTGCAGCCTGCAGGGCGGGCCAGTCCTATATAATGCTGGCCCGTCCAGGAGGCTGCTCTTGCCAATGCCGAAACGTACCAGATCCTGGCGTTGAAGCTCAACCAGGGGTTGTCTTGAAAACAGGCCCAGAATGGCCTGTGCTAAAACCCTGGTTTGGTGCCTGAGTTTCAGGGCAGGTCGAACTCATGAGGGCCTGAAAATGGCCCTCCATTTCAGGCTGAAAAGACTCAGGGCTGGAAAGGCCCTGATTTAGGCTGAAATGACACAGGGCCTGTAGGCCCTTGTTTTCAGGCTTTCAGGCTGAAACGACAAGGGGCCTGTAGGCCCTTGTTTTCAGGCTTTCGGCCTGAGAACGTCACGGGCCTGAAAGTGGCCCGTGCAGCCTGTTGCAGGCGCAGCATGTAACACCCCCCCTTCCTTATGAAGTGAAGCCGGGTCAAGGGCGAAGCTGGCGATCTGAAGGTGGAACCTGGACATGGTTGCAACGTGGAGCCGAAGGTACCAGCTTGCCTTGCATCCTGCGTAGCGTGCGAGAACATCCGGAGCTGTTGCTTGGAGTTCCGCACGGGCCAACCAATGGTCAGCTTTGTGAATGCAGAACGCAAACTGTACCAAGTACTCGGTTGGCCTGTTGCCGCAGCGTCGCTGGGAGATGATGTCGCCGACCTCCTGAACACCGTCCATAGAGGGTGGGTCTTGTGATCGTCGCCCGGGAAAATCATCATGTTCCTCTGACGTGTAAAGAGCCAACTTGGAGCAATGAAACACCGGGTAGACGGGCAAGTGGACAGGCACCTGAATGGTGAAGGAAGGTCCTCCGGGTGCGTCCCCAGCGGGTGCCACGATCGGCCGGGGCCCCATCCATTTTGGGAGGAGCTTGCGAGCGATAGCTTGTTCAAGGCTGAATTCCGGGGCGGAAACCCAAACGAGATCGTCGGCGCGGAATGGGAAAGGAAGACTCTAGATTGGCCTGTTGGCTCATGCGTTGTTGCGTCTTAGCCATTTGGTCGCGTGCCTTGACAAGTAGCTCTTGCATTCGACGCAAGAAAAGAAGATGGTCGCCGCTCTCGGCCGTTCGTAGAATGATTGTGTCCATCTGAGAAGTGACCGGCGAGCCGTGCTCGAACTCGAAGGGCGACATCCCGACAGTCGGGTGGATGGACGAGTTTTATGCCAACCCCACATCCGGCAGCCGCTCAACCCAATCTTTTTGGTCGGGACGGATGAGAGTATGAAGGAGAACCTGTGCGGTCTGATGCGCCATCTCTGTTTGGCCATCGGTTTGGGGGTGGCGAGCCGGCTTGAGAGATGAGCCCCATCGCTTTACGAGCGCCAACCAAAAACCGAACATGAACCGAGTGGCGCAGTCGCAGACGATTTCCTTGGGGTAACCCTTCGTTCGAATCCAACCGGCGTAAAGAACTTCGGCCAACTTCGGTGCCTTGGCATGATGGCGGCAAGGCCAAAACATGGCGAACTTGGTGAATCGGTCGACCACCGTAAGAATCCCATCCACACCGGTCTTGTGCCTGGGGAACGGCCCGGTAATGTCCATGGCAATCGCTTCCCTTCAGCGCAAGGGGACCAGTAATGGATGCAACTCGCCGTACGGACGATGGTTGCGGGATATGCAGCGTCGACAAACCTCGCATGACTCGCAATACCGTGTGATGTCGCCAAGAAGGTCGGGCCACCAAAATCGCTCGCGAAGTCGGCCAATCCAAAGTGTCCGGTTGCGGGAGCGTCGTGGAACTCACCATGAAGCGGTGTACGCAAGTGAGAGTTACTCGGTATGCAAAGAAGGTCCTTCCCCCGCGTGTGGACAAAAAGAAGGTCCTTCCCCCGCGTGTGGACAAGCAAGTACCTTTCTTGGATCCGATAGTGAGAAGGCGTCGGATTAGGAGAGGAGCAATTCGCGTACTTGTCGCGAAACTCGGGGTCGGCTTGGTAGTCGCGGATGAAGCTGTCCCGCAAGTCGTCATCGATCTCGAAGGTTGAATAGATCGCGATACAATGATCCGGACATCGTGAAAGAGCATTTGCAAAATGGTTAGACTTCCCCGGAATGTGATCGGAAAAGAAGTCGAACTGGTCGATGAAAGCCATCCGTCGAGCAATGGTGTTGTTAACGGTGTCTTGGGTCTCGTAAAAGACCAACGAATTGTTGTCCTTTACCCATCAGAATTGACTTCGGCCAAGGAGGAAGTGCCGCCACCACTTGAGCGTGTGG